GGAGAGACCGGGCTCTCGTGGGATAGGCATCGGGCGTAGCTCGCCATAGGGATTGCGGTTGCCGGGTTTGCTGCACCGGCAAACTTCGCAAGAGTCGCAATACCGAGTGAAATCCGTAATGAGGTCGGGCCATCAGAATCGTTGTCGAAGCCGTGCAATAGTGTGGTTGACTCCGAAATGGCCGGCGAGTCGCGAGTCATGGAACTCTCCGAGAAGGCGAGTCCGAAGACGACGGTCTCGTGGGACACACAATAAGTCCTTGCCTCTCGAGTGGAGGAGCAAGTACCCGTTGGCAATGCGATAGTTGCTGGCCGGCGGGTGATCCGAAGATAGCTGCGCGTACAACGTGGCGAAGTTCGGATCAAACTCATATCCCCGGATGAGGTGTCACTGAAGCTCCTCGTCGAATGTGAAGGCATGATGTGTCATAGCGCAAAGATCAGGTCTTCGCGACAGTGCATCTGCTGCGCGATTTGAGAGGCCGGGAAGATGTTTCTGTGTGAAGTCAAACTGGTCGATGAAGTACATCCATCGTCCGATCGTGCTGCTCACCGTATCCTGCATCTTGTAGTAGGTCAATGGATTGTTGTCCGTAACCCATGTGAACCTACGACGCCCAAGGAGGAAGTGCCGCCATCGCTTGAGAGCCATGACGAATGCGAGCAGCTCCTTCTTCCTTGCATCATCAAGCGAGTTGATGGGAGGCACTTTGTGGCTGAAATACATCGCCGTTGTGATGTTCCAAGACTGCCCCAATGTCGTAGCCGGAAGCGTCCGCAGTCACTCTCGTCGGCAAGGTGGGGTCAGGACGGGTGCCATGAGCATGGCCGTCTTAAGTGTTTGGAATGACCAGCGTGCGTCGTCATCGAATACGAATGGCACCTTTGGCGATTGTAATCGCGTCAAAGGTGCAGCAATCCGTGAGTATCCGATGATGAATCGCTGATAGTAGCCCGCCAATCCCATGAATGAACGAACGTCCGTGGTGTTGGTGGGCTCGGGCCATACNGCAATCCGTGAGTATCCGATGATGAATCGCTGATAGTAGCCCGCCAATCCCATGAATGAACGAACGTCCGTGGTGTTGGTGGGCTCGGGCCATACTCGTAGGGCCTCGATCTTGTCCGCAAGCAGACGGATGCCTTGCGGCGTCACATAATGTCCCAAGTACACCAGCTCCTGCCGCGGGGATTCGCACTTGTCGCGGTTGGCTTTGTACTTGCCTTGTCGTAGCCACTCCAAAACGGTGCGCAGTTGTTCCACATGCTCGTCCAAACTCCGGCTGTACACCAGGATGTCGTCGAGGTAGATAAGTACGTATTGTCGGAACTCCGTTGTTATAGCCGCTTGGAAGGTGGCCGGGGCATTCGTAAGGCCAAATGGCATAACCAGCCATTCCAAATGCCCATATCGCGTCTTAAACGCGGTGTAGTAGCGATCCTCCTGCCGAATCTCGAGCTGGTGATATCCCGACTTGAGATCGAGCTTGGAGAAGAACTTGGCGCCGCCCAGTCGCTCGAGAAGATCGTCGATGCGTGGGAGAGGGCCGACGTTTCTGATCGTCTGCGCGTTGAAATTGCGATAATCGATTCACAACCGCAAATCCTTGTTCTTCTTCCGGACGAAGAGAACAGGAGCACCGTATGGCGATGAGCTAGGCCGAATCCAGCCTTTCTCCAGAAGGTCGTCGAGTTGTGCCCGAAGCACACTTAACTCTTCCTCGCTCATTCGGTAGATGCAACTGCGCGGAGGTACGGCGCCGTCCTCGAGGATGATCTCGTGGTGGATGGGCCGATCTGGTACTACTCCGTGCGGGCCTTCGAACACGTCGCTGTAGGCGTCGAGAAGTTCGGTGATGCGTGGATCCGAAGATGAGTCCGTCGATGAAGCGTCATGGGGCGGGAGGGCGTGGAGAAAACACACCCCCATCTCCTCGATGTCGTCTCTGATGATGGAAGCTTGCATGCTTGCGGCAGATACCACGTGGCAGCTGATCCAAGGATGAGGAAGAGGCACCGTGCATGGGACTATTATTTCGTTCCGATCACGAACGTGAACGGTGCGGCGGTAGAAGTTCACCGGGTGATCCTCGCTTCGCAGCCATGACATGCCCAAGATCATGTCAAATTTGGTGTCCAGAATGTCAAAGGACACCGCCTCACTTGCGTGAGGGGCAAAGTACACTGGGACGTCATTAATGCATCGGTCGATTGACTTGTGCATGTGACCGTCCGCCAACGTGACTTGCGTGGGCTGGGACTTCCTTCGGACTCGTGGGCCAAGGCCGGCGCGTACCATGAAGTCCTGACTCATGTAGTTGCGAGATGCTCCGCAATCGATCAAAGCGCTGCAGGTCGCCTCTCCGATCTGAATGCGTACATATAGCAATGGTGCGTCGATGTCGTCGTACCATTGCGTCTTGAACTTGCGGTCGATCTTCGCAATGTAGGCGAGAAGATCGACAACCTCTACTCCGGCGTCCATCAACGGAGTTGGTACTGCAGTGTGCAAGTAATCCCGCAGTTGTGCCATGAGCACATTGCAATGCGGTTTCGGCAATCGTCTGGTCGAGGGAACAGGCATCCATTGGAAGTGCGCGAACGTCAATGGGTCGGGCTCTTCAAGTCTTGACCATGACGACGAATCCCCGGCGATAGATGGCGGCGAAGCTGCCGAATCGCTTGCCGATGGTGATGAAACCGTGCATGCGGTTGATTGTTGCACGTGGAGCGGTTGGTCCAGTGGTGGAACCAAGTGGACAGCATAGTCCTCGTAAGTGTACCGAGAACTTACGACATTCGCATCCTCCCCAGATGTGTTGGAGGCCGCTAGCAAGGCGGCCGAATCTGGCGCAGTGGAAGGTGCATCCTCCCCAGATGTGTTGGAGGCCGCTAGCAAGGCGGCCGAATCTGGCGGAGTGGAAGGTGAAGTCGCCTCACCTCCCGCGAAACTCAGTTTCCCGAGTTGAGACGGGTTCGCACATCCTCCTTGGCCTAATCATGGCGAAGGGAGGTCTTGTGCTTGGTGCTGTTGCACCAGTAGCAGCAGCCGTAGCGGCCGCGGTACTTGTACTCCGCCTCGGTCAAGCTAAACTTGACCCATGGTGCTGGCTGTCCATTTCCGGCCTGCGATGCTGGTTTCGCCTTCCCATTGTTCCGGGACTTGTTGTTGCTTCGCGGCTGGACAGCAGCCACCTGATCTTCGTCACGTGATGCTGGGGTGGCTGCTGGGTCTTCTCCACTGTCCGATTGGACTGCAGCGAAGTGCTGCGGTCGCGGACCAGTCTTTACCTTCTCCACATAGGTCGGCTGCCACGTTGACCTCTCGTGTGCAGCTGCCCTGTTGGTCTTGATGATCTCCCTCTCCTTGTCGATGATTTCGGCGAAAGTTGCATACTGCTCGCGATCACCAAGTGCCTGGCTCAGCGCAGCGCATGACCTGTTGTAGAACTCACGGCGTAGATACGTGAATGGTAAGTCCAAATCGGGCACTGCCGCGATCTTCTGCCATTCTGTGAGCCAGCCACATGTTGCTGTGTCGCCTTGATGTAGTTGCGAGATTTGTGACGTCTTCGCCGTGGGTGGCTGCCAGGTGGGTCAACCAGGTCTGGCATGCTCCCTTTGAGTTAAGAAACAAGGCGTCGATGTACGCATGCTTGGCGACAGGCAGAATCCGAAGTTGCGTCGTGAACGCTTCCCACCAGAGGACCAGATCCTGATGTGTGTAGTCGTCGAACTTCTCCAGTTGGAAAGTTGGCATCTTGTACAGCTTTGGATTGCCATCCGAGTTCGTCGACTGCATTTGCTGGACCTCGGTCTTCAACGTGTCCAGCTGGCTGCTGATGTCGCCGAGCATTGCCACTACGTGGTCAACGCGTTCCTCCAGTTGGCGGCTAGAGGGTGCACTGCTGGAAGCCCCAGCATCTGGTCCTGGTACAGCCTGTTCCAGGTCCAGTACACGGGAATTGAGTGCCCGTGTTGCATCCTCGTGGCTCTGCACTATCCGGCGGAGGTTCGCCAACTCCTGGTGCTGTGTCTTCAGATCCTGGTACTGTTGCTGCAGTTCCTGGTTCTGTCTCTCTAACTCGGACCGTTGGTAGTTGCAAGCATACAACAACCGTGTTACGAGTTTGGAGAGGAACTCCTTATGCTGCTCTTCCGGTGTTGCGTCGTCGCCGTTCGGTTCAAAGTGCCAGAACTTGAGTCTTTCGATGTTGTTGGCTTCATGCCGCTGCAGCAGATCCTGGGCTTCCTTGCGGCGAGCCTGGGCATCTGCGTCTGCTTCGGCCTGTAGCCGCAGCTTCTCTGCTGTTGCCGCTGCTTCAGCCTGTAGGCGGGCAGCCTCCGCTGCCAGCTGGCGTTGTTCCTCAGCCTCGATGAAAACGAGCTGAGCCTGGAAGCGCTGTTTGTAGTCGGCAATGGACTCATTGGCCAGTTGGCCTGGCAGGCCCAGAGCTGGACCCGTCATGCTGACGTGGCACTGTGGCTGACGTGGCAATGCTAACGCGGCACTGCTGATGTGGCACTGTGGCTGACGTGGCACTGCCGATGTGGCACTGTGGCTGACGTGGCACTGCTGATGTGGCACCGTGGCTGACGTGGCACTGCTGACGTGGCACTGTGGCTGACGTGGCACTGCTGATGTGGCATTGTACCAATCCGGAAATGGATGCAAAGGGTGGGTGGGAGGGAAAACGCAGGTAGGAAACCAACCCAACAATACTTTCCTCCGGCCCTAATCAACAGATAAAACAAAAAAATAAAGAGATAAAGAGGACTACTTCCTTTTTTTTTTTTTTTTTTTGTATATCTATCTATCTATTATGAGTGAGACATGTCAGAAGAGTATTATGAACGAGATCTAGGCTACGTTCCGCAAAGTTTCGGCTTTCACAAAAATGCGATCTTGAATTTTTTTTTTGCGAAATGGAGTAAAGATGCAATTTTCAGAAAAGAACAAAATCCAGTTTCTGAGAATATAGCAACCTCCGAATATGCCTAACGAAATATTAGTAGGCTTCGCAAGATTTCGGTTTTCAAGAAAAATTTGCGAGATAGAATGGAAATTCGATTTTCAGAAAAGAATAATTCCGGTTTCCAAGAATATGACCACTTAATCGCTATCCCAATATGCCTATAAAACGCAATACTAATATTAGAGAAACGAAATGCTACTATCGGGAATTCTCAGACAAAACGAAATGCGATTTATCAGAAATTTTCAGATATTTGTAACGTAAAAACGAAATACCAATATCGGAAATTTTCAGGTAAAACGAAATGCGAATATCAGAAATTTCAGATAGTTGTTACGAGAATTTTTTTTTTTCAGAGATTTGACGAAGTCATGCTTGATTTACTAACGAGTGATCAATAGATCAAGCAAGCTGGCTACTTGATTGAGCGGGTCCTCTGAATGAGAGGTCCGCTCCGATACCAAACTGTTCCATACTGTAACGTGCAGACCAGAACAAGAACCGACCTCTCATCCATATAGTGCGAAGCGGAAAGGGGTCTGGCGCTTCACACACGAAGACTGCGCCAGCCCCAACCATTCACAGACGAAGAAGAAGAGGGTTAGACGAAGAGGAGGGGAAGATGGGAATGTCGTCAACACCGAGTCTTCGGCACAGGCCCAAATAGTCCCTCGTCAAAATGTCTGAATCCCAAATGTCGAGTCTGAATCCAATGTCGTCACGTCTCAGGTCGTATCCCTCTCTCTCGTAGTCCACAGATACTGAGAAGTAGGCAGCGAGAGGGGAAGAAGAGATGGTGGACTTAGAAGAGGAATAAGAAGAACTCTCTCTCTCTCTCTCTCAGTCCAGTACTAACCTGTAAAGCTGGCGCCTTGATGCAGGTACCTCGAAGGTGGAGCTGGAGCGATGGCGCAACAGGTAAGTACCACTGGCCTCCGCCAGTATCTCTCTCCGATACTGCTACCCTACCACTATAGCACCCAGCGCTGAAGACTACAGCTATGGCTATGGGCGCCCAGCGCCGAAGACTACTACTAGCGCTAATACTACTGCCTAGCGCTGAAGACTACTGCAGCGCTCCTCCTGAGTGCTGCGACCGAATCCTGAAGACTACTCGTGCCTCTGACAACTACTTACCCGTGAAGTGCATGGGACTATCCTATGTACTACTCGGGTCTGCCTCCTGACTGCAGGCGAGCAGTCCAGGAGGCTGCTCTTGCCAATGCCGCAGGGAGGCAAGGGCTGCAGCTGCAGCTCCTGCTCGAGCTGGCGTGGGGATCAGGCCAGAAATAGCCTGTTCCCGAAACCCTGCTTTCGTGCCTGAGTCTTAGGGTCAGTCGAAACGATGAGGGCCTGAAAATGGCCCTCCGTTTCAGGCTGAAAAGCCTCTGGGCCTGAAAGGCCCAGAAATAGGCTGAAAACGGAATAGGGCCTGCAGGCCCTCGTTTTTCAGTTTCAGGCTGAAACGACCAGGGCCTGTAAGCCCTATTTTCTAGGCTTTTAGGCTGAAAGTGCGGGACGGGCCCTGCAGGGCCCATGTGGCTACGCAGTATGCCACAACAAGGAACATGCTTCTGTGTTCCACCACTGAGTGTGCGTGGTTACATGTTGGTGACAGCCTACTACTTCCCAGAAGCAATTCTCTCTTAGCCTCCTTTTTCCCCGAACCCCTTCTCCCTTGCCTCCCAGGTTCTAAAACAGCTCTTGTGGTTGACACTAAAGAACAAGAACATTCAGACTTCCAACCCACTTCAAGCCGAAACGGAGAGACAAAAAGACTTATGTGAAGAAGCCAAAAGAACAGTGTAACAGAATACAAGATGTCAATGAAAATGGAACGGTGTGTGTGTGTGAGAGAGTGAGAGAGAGAGAGAGAGAGAGAGAGAGAGAGAGAGAGAGAGAGAGAGAGAGAGAGAGAGAGAGAGAGAGAGAGANAGAGAGAGAGAGAGAGAGAGAGAGAGAGAGAGAGAGAGAGAGAGAGAGAGAGAGAGAGAGAGAGAGAGAGAGAGAGAGAGAGAGAGAAGGAAGGGGGGAGAGCGGGAGAGGGATAAGGAGGAAGGAAGGGAGAGGGGAAAGCAGGGAGAGAGGAAGACGGGAATGGAGGAAGAGGGAGAGAGGGAGAGGGAGAGAAGGGGAAAGAGGGACAGAGCAAAAGGGGAAAAGTTGGAGAGAGGAGAGGGGAAAAGAGGGAGAGAGGGAGAGAGGGGGAGAGCCCCAGGGAAGGGAGGTGGGAGGGCGGAACGCAAAGGAGGCTGGCACAGGAATCAGCTTTCGGCAGACCCAGGGATGGGCACCAGATAGTGTGTTCTCACCCAAAGAGGCTCCATTACAGTTGACGACAATATAAATTGCTTCCCTCGCTACACACTGCTGTATGTATTTCCGATTTTCTGTCTCCATCCCTGAATCACTGGGTCTCGGGCAGTCATTCTCAAAAGCCGCTCTGGCAAACGCCTTCGATTTCTGTCTCCGCTCAGGCTCGCATCCCTTCATGGTTTCACAATCATCTCCCATACTCACGCCATCCATGCAACACATTTCCTTGTGTGTTGCCATACCTCCTTCCTCTACTCCAGAGCTTCTGACTGTTTTGTCCTGATCCCTCCAGTCCCGCTCCGTCCTACTCTCTCTGTCCTGATCTTTTCCATCGTATATGTGACAACAATTTCTAGTGCCACCATCCCCACTCTCACCCATACGTGATTTGGGTCCATTTCCCTCTCTGCTCCGTAAGACCCTCGTCCCCAGTGATTCTGAATGCTCCAGCGGAACTTTACCCTTGGCCTGCAATGCTTTCCCCTGGAAAACACTATTCCCCTGTATCTCCACGTTCTCCAAGTAGCTGTTGGGGTAAACCATCTTCTCAGCAGCCACACGGTCAGAGACATGAACACGCTTACGGCTCAGGCCTGATGCAACCAACTCCCGTTCAAGTTCCAAAACCTTGAACCACATTCCGCTCGGGAACCATCCCCTTCCTAGAAGAAGCCAGACACCCGCAGCAAAGAATGGGAAACCACGAAGTAAAGCAAGGACAACCCTTAGCCCTCCACGAATTGCCAAGACTGCACCATATGTGACTGTAAAGAAAATGTAGAAAATAGATGTTGTGGGAAGCAATAGCAGCAAAGGAGTAAACATCAGGCATCCGACAAGGGATTGCTCCACTGAACACTCGTAAGAGTCGACCCGATGTCGTAATGGGTTTCTCTTTTGGCCTCTGAACATACGCCAGAGTGCCCCTGCTGCTTGCAGCTGAGGAGTGTAGACCACAGCCATTGCACCATAGAGAAGAGCCATGTGGCAGGTAGCCAGAGCAAGCAGGTCACCAAGCAGCGACAGCAGCACAGACAGCCCTGATAAGCCTGCAACAGCAACTACATCCAATATCATCGGCAATACTGGGACCACTAGAGACGAGCACAGTGTTGCCCACCCGTGAATAAGATAGAGTGAAACTCGACCGGTGCAGTTGGCAAGCTCATTATTAAGTTTGAATCCTGCTGGGACTCCCATAAGCCATACCATCCCAGTCTTCATCAGACCCGTCGACACATCGGAACCCATGCCCATTAGCAATTGACATACCACATCCTTCTGCCACCTCAATAGGATGCCAGCCACCATACCCAAAACCATATCCGCAAGCATTTCGGCTTGCAGACCATGATTCCGCAAAGCGGACATATGTGCTTCCCTTACATCCCAAGCCTCCCTCTTTATCCTGGCCTCCGCCTTCCTGTCTCTGCCTCCTTTAGAACTTGAACCAAGCAGGCAATAGGCCTCCAACAGCTGCCTCTCTAAGCAACTCTTCAGTGCCATGCTACCGAGGCTCAGTTCTGCATGCCGGTGCACCACAGCATGCCATGTGTCACTCCACTCCCCCAACAGCCCTGCAACCGGGAGCAACATCGTTAACACGATCCAAATGCTTGCTTGTACCAAGGCGACCACCGCAGCCAACGCACCAAGCGTAAAACAGTGTGCAACCTGAACAAGAAGGCAAATAATCCTCCAACCCACAAATTCCTCTGACCCCTTCTGTTCCTCCTTCCCTGAAAACGGGTCCACAGCATGCCCCCTTCTCCTTCTCTTCACTTTCCCCCATGACCGCTTCTTGTCACCTGGCTGGTTCACCAAATCTACATGTCTATTTCCCTGTTTATCAGGACTAGACTCATACTGGAGATCTTTGTCATTGCTCCTTGACACCCTGTTAGGCAATGTTTGAAGATCGGTGCTTCCGCCTGACCTGGTTATTGTTGCATCTGCTACTTTCATCGACAACGCACATGCCAATGCCATATCCGACACGCAGGGCAATTGTTCGATTGCTCGCTGGCTCAAAGATAGAATCATCCTCTCCACAAACCTGGACGAATTCAGTTGTACCACAACATGTTCCTGGGGTACGTCATACACAGCGATTATCAAGCACGAGAGGGCAGTCATCGTCAACAGCACTGGATCCGTCAAATACAAGACAGACACCAACTTCTTTTTTTGAGATCCCTGCAAGAATGGACATGTAACTGCGAAAGGAGAGTAACTAGACCCTGTAGCAGTCCAAAAAGGACGGAGTCAAGCCCAAAAAAAAGGAAGGAGTCCAGTCCAAAAAAAAAGGGAGTCGTCACGTCCAAGTTTCATGAAAAGCGTTGTACCACTGCTACGTTGAATGCCCAGTGATAGAATAGCGTATGCAAAAGAAATGACTGCACCTCTTGTGTTTTCCAGGAAGTCGGCCAAGATAATATCCACAGTGCTTCCTGGCACTCAATCTTGCAAATATTTCACAAATCCTTTTCCACAAATTATTAACAACTACCAGGGTTTACTCCTCGGCTAGGGCCTTGCAGCAGGCGCGTGCCTGCCCTAAGTGAAGGCGGGCCCCCTGAGTCCCAATTGCAAACAGACTCGTTCTCATTCACACTTTTCATGCATGTAAACAGCAGCGCAGCAACTGGCGACATGCGCCCACTCAAAACTCAGAGATATGGCATCCAGATACGAGTTCGCTTTCAACTGGCTATGGCGACTCAGCGCCCAAACAACCCACTGTTCACACACACCGGATCACCCTGGATATCCCACTCGCAACTCTCCGAACACTCACACATACACACACACACTTCACACTAGACTACAGCTATGGCAGCTATGACTGCCTCTACCCTATCGCTGTGCTAAGCTCCTCCTCTCCCGCCCACTGTGTCCCCCAGGCTCACTGCAGACCTCCTTGCACAAGTCGCTGTGGCAGCGCTTCCGCATGGCTCACGCAGGAATGAATGAAAGGCTGGGCGCTGCCTCTTGATTTATACTTCGAAAACTCGTTGGTCTGCCCTTTGCCATCGGCCCATGGTGCTCACAGTCCCCCGTGGTACTTGCTGGACCGGACTGGGACTGACTGGACTTTACCGCTGACTGACTGTGGACTCACTGCTATACTACCGTCGTCGTACTGCAATCGCACTGCAGCTTAGTCCACCACTTGACTCGCCACTTGACCACTTGCCCACTTGTTGATCTTCTAGAAGGGCTACAGCTAGGCTTCTGGAACTCGCTAAGACTTCTACTCTATAGACCTACAGATCGAACCCCTGCTACCTAGGGACCTATGACGGACCTACCAACTGTCTACGAATACACAGGTCACAGGTTCAACTCTCAGGATCTACACAGATACTGTACATGGGTAGGGTGAGGTCTAGGGATCGAACCCTGGGGTCTACATCTGCTACTGCAAAAGGTGAAAACCGTTTCACTCCCGCCGTCCTAAATTCGAGGTCCTCCGAGAATATTTCAGTCCAAGGCAGGACCTTTACTATTACGGACTCCGCCAGGGCTCGATCCCTGGTCTATCTTTTGCTGTTTCAGCTGCATCCCGTTTTCGGCCTGGCACCCTTTTTCCAAACCCCTCCTTTGGTACCGTAGGATTTTGGACAACTGGCGCCATGCTGCAATTCGGGCGCCACTTTCAAAAACTGCATTTTTCAGTTCTGCCCTCGGGGTCTTTGCAGAAATGCCCCTAGTACCGTACGTGTCACCGGTACTTATAC